CGCACTCAGTTCAGTATGCACGCTCCGAGTACGTTTAGTAACAAAAAGTTACTAGCCACTGAAACGGAGCAAGTGCACGCCAATCGAATTTGCCATAAGTCTATGATCGTGTCGCCCGTGGCTGCTATACAGCGCCGTCGTATCGATATCGATCGACCTACTGCGATATTTGGAGATCGCATTAGTCGATACTCGCAAGAGGTTCGATAATTGACCCCGGAGGTCGCTATACTGAAATGATAGGCTGAAAAATTCCTTACAATACGGAATGTATCTCCTTAATATACGTATTTTAGTAGTTTTTAGGCTAGTATTCATAGCTTAATCGTACATGTAAAACTGACGTAAGTTTATTTTGAAATGGTGGACCGTTCTATTGGCTACAGACGATCAATCTCGATCAATTATTTTTTTAAATAATAGAATATTTTTCTGTGTGTACCCTGAAAGGAAACCATTTACAAAACTATATGACGAAATCTTGCACTACAATTGTAATTTGCAATTATACAGACATATTTTAGGAAATAGGTGTAAAAACATTGATCTTTTCTCAAATATTTGTAGTTGTTTGCAGAATTACTTTCCAAATACTATTTCGGCAAAAGAATAACGATATGGCGAATCATCTTAGCAGTATATTTGCAAAATATACTATTAATTTTACAAAGAAATTGTCCAATAATTGAGAAAAGAAATTCAACTATGTGATATTTAAAATATGTAGAAATATGATTGCATATGAAGAAATCAACTTAATTCGTGTATGTATTTAAGGAAATAGTATAATGACTCTTTCGCAATTTTTGACAAATATTATTTACAAAATTTTATTTCGACAAAACTGTTGCGTTATAGCAAATTATCTTGCAATCATTGCAAAATCGTCGTTATTTATGATGCCATTTTTGTGCAATATTTTCACAATTTGCCTATTGGGATGTGTTATACACATCTAGTTTTTTATCTATGTACCCGGTATAAAACCCCCGATAGCCAAATGATAGCAGTATGCACGCAGGTTTAATCAGCACTTTGCAGCAGATTCCCTAATAGAAAACCATTTACAAAATTATGTGACGAAATCTTGCACTACAATTGTAATTTGCAATTATACAGACATATTTTAGGAAATAGGTGTAAAAACATTGATCTTTTCTAAAATATTTGTAGTTGTTTGCAGAATTACTTTCCAAATACTATTTCGGCAAAAGAATAACGATATAGCGAATCATCTTAGCAGTATATTTGCAAAATATACTATTAATTTTACAAAGAAATTGTCCAATAATTGAGAAAAGAAATTCAACTATGTGATATTTAAAATATGTAGAAATATGATTGCATATGAAGAAATGCAAGAAATCGTCGTCACTCATGATGTCATATTTGTGCAATATTTTCTCAATTTGTCTTGGAAGTATATACTGTGGAAATGCATAATGATTTTTTCGCAATTTTTGACAAATATTATTTACAAAATTTTATTTTGACAAAACTGTTGCGTTATGGCAAATCATCTTAGTGCAATCATTGCAAAATCGTCATTCATGATGCCATTTTTGTGCAATATTTTCACAAATGTGCCTATTAGGTACATAATTCACTCACTATGATGACACAGCTGAGTGAAATCTGCTGCAAAGTGCAGAGTAAAGCTGCGTTCATACTGCTGGCATACTGCTATCATTTAGCTATCAGGGTATTGCGGCTCATCATCGGCCCCCACAGTGTCTAGTTGAAGACAACTGCTTATAGCACCACGTACAGCAGAAAAAAAAACGTGTTAGCGTTGGTTTGTTAGGAGCACACGGCAGCGGTTACACGCGCGGTTCGATGCTCCACTGCTATGTGGTGCATTGTGTTTACTACTCATGCAATAAAAAATTGTATTATCGAGCAATAAACTTGGAAAATTAACACAATGGGTAATTAAAAAATACAAACCTGTCATTGCTATGCGCAACGCTTGCAACAACTTTCTCGACAAACGTCATATTTGAAACTAGTGCTGCCAATATTCATCGTAACTACTTATGTGAGGTCGAGGAAAATCATGCACTAACCAGAGCAAAATCATCTAATCATTACGAGCTGCAATTGATTAGAAAATACATTGTACAGTTTCTTGTTTCTTTATTGTGTACAACTGATTGAACATATAACAATTAGATATCTCTTATTGTGAAAAACTGTTTAAAATACAGAGCAAGAAGTATTTGACTATCTATGCGCTGCATGATGAAGTGACGGCAATAGCCGCCAAATTTAAAACAGATCGAGACATAGTTTTGTGCCAACAAACACAGTAAAAAAACTGTGTCGAGGTTTACTTTAAAGAAATCTTATGAGCAACGTCATGAAATATTTACTTTTTGCAATGATCTAATAATGTAAAGATTTTAGATCTTGTGAAGATGTTGACTTATGATTTAGCATATCTCAATTGACTAGGTAGTTATCTTCTCATTTCAAAACTCTCTCTCAAAATAGCTATGTTTTTATATTTTATACGAGTGATTTTATATATTTTTTATTATTTTGTGTGTTTAAATTTGAGATTTTAAATTTGGAGAGAGAAAGAGAGAGAGAGAGACAGAGAGAAACGTTATGGTCCGGAATGAGATCTTCTTATAAATAAGCGCAAAATAAAATAAAATAAAAAATAGAGTACAAAAACACAAAAATCAACAAAAATCAAAAGAACAATACTAAATTGAGTACAATCAAAAAAGAAAAATAGAAGTGGTAACAGAATAACGAATAAAAGAAAAAAACTTTATAAAAGAACAAATAAAGGTAAGACCAGATCAAAGGCTGAATAAATCTTTTCAGATCAGGAACTACCATTAAGCAAATGATAAAACAAAAGAGAGAGAGAGAGAGAGAGAGTCATGGTATTTACACAAATTTTTCTAAGTTTTTACATTTATTAGTTTTTATAATTAAAGATTAGAGAAATTTTACATTAGAAATTGTTACATTTTATATCCCTAAAAAATATTAGAAAAACAAAATTTGTTAACTCTTACTTTATGTATACATACAGAGTGACATCCCACACAGACCATCCATCCATCCAGACATCCATTAGACATCTATTAGATGTCGCATGGAGCTGTCGACGTCTAATAGACGTCTAATGGAGTTTTTCTTCTGTGTGGGATGTTAATACAAACATATTCTTAATTATAATTAAAGTATTATATATTACACATATCTATTATTGTTACTTTATTGTTGATGTGAGCAATTATAAGTTAGATTGTTCTGCGATTATAACGTCGCTTCCATTGGAATGTTGCGACAAAACGTCCAGATTCCGATGTAGATTGTTTTTCTGGCAAGTCTTCTTTGCTTGTTCCAGCAGATTTTGCGCCATCTGACTGCCTGTCTGCTCCACCATTTTTGCGAAGTAACCTTCCGGCTTGTTATGTAACAGCTCGTACGGACAGCCAAACTCCTATTGATGTGAACATTAAAGTCTGATTATATTTTTTTCTTTATTTCGTCGATATAAGCAAATAAATACATTGCTGCAAAGCAACCGTACCACAATATGACCGTTCTCCATCACGATAATCCGATCGCTGTCTATAATAGTGTTTAAACGATGCGCTATTGTGATGACAGTACACTCCTTAAAAATGTTTCTTATCGTGTTCTGTATTAAAGCGTCAGTGCTAGAGAAACAGAAAAATTGTTTGAAAAATTGTTTTTTCGATTCAAAATGACCTTGCATTTTTATTTCTTGAACTTACTGCGAATCGATATTGGCCGTGGCCTCGTCGAGAATGAGCAAGCGGTTATTTCTCAAAATCGCTCTGGCCAGACAAATGAGCTGCCGCTGACCGACACTGAAGTTATGGCCGCCGTAAAGAACACTTTGATCCAGAGCGACATCGCTGAGCTCGACTTGTCGAAGCACCTTCCACAACAGCACGTCGTCGTACTGATTGAACGGATCCAGATTGTAGCGCAAACTCTCAGAGAAGAGCACCGGCTCTTGCGGTATGATAGAGATCTTGGAGCGTAGCTCACGCAGACCCACCGTGCTTGTGTCCAGGCCGTCGATCTTGATCTCGCCATCCAGGCCCTCGTTGAACAAGCGAAAGATCGCCGAGATCAGCGAGGACTTACCGGCGCCGGTTCGACCTACCACACCGATCTTCCATCCAGGTTCTATATCCACGTTCAGATTCTGTTAATTAATAAGATTAACAATAAAACAGTACTGATATATCTCTGTCGAGTGCAATTGGTTAAATACTTACTTTCAGGGCAGGTAGATCGTTCTTGCCATACGTCATGCAGACGTTTTTTAAAGTTAATTGTCCTTGGGTCGGCCACGTAGGCGGCGGAGGATTGCTCGAAACAATCGGTTTTTCCGCGGGGAGATTTGTATACTGAAGAATCCTTTCAACGGAAGTCATCATCGACATTGTCTCGGCGATTTGTTTTACGCCATATTGCAGACTGCCAGTCAAAATTAGTGACTGAGAAATTGCTAGACCCACGTCGCTACTGAGCACACTGCCTATGTGTGAAAATATCAATAACAAAAATTATGGGCAAAAATGTGAAAAGAGGGATTAGCAATTATCTGAGAATAATGTTGACAATAAATCTAAAATAAATAAAAAAAAAATTAAAAAAAATTAAAAAAACAAATATACACACCGTTATCGTTCATTAATACGAAGGAGAAACAAAGTAGAGCTGTAAACAAGCACATGATCAGGTCAAGTATAAGACCGAAGACAGTTCCGCATGCCAAAACGAGATACCATGCACCGCTGTGATAATCCTGCAGCATGTCGAACTGTCTTTGCATCATCTTTTCTATATCGACGCCACTGCTTCTAATCGTCGGCAAGCCGTTCAGCGTAGAATTCACATGGGAGAACAAAGGGCTTTTAGCTGAAAACAAAATGAGATCAAAACTGTAGAAGCCGTGTGAAATAAACATAAAATATTCAGAATCTAAAAAATATGGAACGTGGTTTCCGAGCTTTGTGGCAAAGTGAACATTTTTATTCGTACGATACCTATTGACATGTATAAGACTTATTTTTTAGAGAAATTTTGAAACTTAATCAAAGAAATGATGGATTTTTTTTATTGTAACAAAACCCATATAGCACAAGACGTCTTTAGGATTATCCTGACAATATCCAAGACCACTCAGGACATTTACAGGACATTTTAAGATATAATTATAAATGTATTTTATGAAAATTTACTATGCATACGTAATTACTTTTAATTATACAGAGAATTTAATGTAATTTAGAATTTTTATGTAGTATGAAAAATATAAATGTCCTCTGGATAACCACTGGATTTCTAGAGAATATCTACTTTGTCTATTATCTATATTAGATGTTGATTTTTCAAAGGACATTCTATTCGTTCTCTGAACGTTTTTTGAACATGTTGTTTTGAACATGAACGATCGAGATCTGTTAAACTTTATTATATATTTGACAGATTTTATATCATTTTTAAACAATAATTTTATTCTTCTTAATAATTTTATTGCTTTTCTGTATAAGAATTATACCATACTAGTACATTACTGGCACAAAATTACTGATGATATTTGTGCCGAGGATAGCCAGTAATATTTTTCTGTAAAAGACGTCGTTCACATTCCAGAGAGAGTATTATATTTTTTCATTTACTTCTTTAAATATCGTCGAAATTTCGAATGTAGAGGTAGAATTTACTTATGTTTCTCTGAAATAAAGAATAATTTAATAACAATCAATATTAAATTGAGGATCTTCCTCGGACTCATGAAGTTTATTAAACTTAATAAATGAATAAATAAATCTTAAAGAGCCGTTCGCAGGCTGTTGTGCGGAAAATATGTCTTATATGTGTGTACACATATATAAGTAAATTCACGTTTTTCACGTGTTTTTCGAATTGAAATTCAATTCTTAAATTCATATAGGATGCTAGTTTTGCATCTCATATATAATAGACCCCGAATACCCCCCCTAATTGATTTAAAATATTGTGAAAAAAACTCCTCAGCCAGGAGTCGAACCTGGAATCTCTAGCTTTCCGGGCCGTCGTCTTCCCTGTTAGGCCACATATTTTCCGCACAACAACCTGCGAACGGCTCTTTAAGACTTATTTATTCATTTATTAAGTTTAATAAACTTCATGAGTCCGAGGAAGATCCTCAATTTAATATTGATTGTTAAAAAATCTACGCTGTCGAAATAAGCGTTTAATACAGTATCAGACAACATCTTAATAGATGTACGAAGTATTGCGAAACAAACTCCAAGTGTGCCTCGGTGGCCTAACAGGGAAGGCGACGGCCCGGAAAGCCGGAGATTCCAGGTTCGATTCCTGGCTGAGGAGTTTTTTTCGCAATATTTTAAATCAATTAGGGGGGGTATTCGGGGTCTATCATATATGAGATGCAAAACTATCATCCTATATGAATTTAAGAATTGAATTTCAATTCGAAAAACACGCGAAACACGTGAATTTACTTATATGGGTGATTCTCTGTGAACGCGTAAATTTCAACTTTCAGTTTTGATAAAAAATAATTATTATTAACTAACGGATAGCGGTGAATTATGTTTTTTCATACCATTTTAAGTCACCATTCGTAATATGAATACGTGACTATGCAATATAAAAAACTTATCTATGTTTTTTATGTCAATATACCATGGAGATTACAGTCCACGGAGATTACGTTTTTTGAGAATTACCTATATATGTGTACACACATATAAGACATATTTTCCGCACAACAGCCTGCGAACGGCTCTTTAAAACTTATTTATTCATTTATTAAGTTTAATAATTTAATAATTAGGTTTAATAGCTTCGCAGTCTGAGTGCAGGGACTACGAACAAGGAGATCACGAGTTCAAATCTATTCAACACTTTAGAAGTTTTTCCGGGTCGATCTCTTCTAATCAAAGAGATATAGCTGAAAGGCGAACAGTATCAAGCCTCCAAGAAGAAATAAGAGTAAAAAATATTTTGAAATAGTGAAAATAAACCTTCCGGCTATGACCAAGATTGAGGTGGCTTAAAAAAATTCAAAATAAAGTCAAACGGAGATCAACGTGGAACGTTTCGATCTTTATTCTTTAGATCATCATCAGCCTCACTGGACGGAACAAAAGATACAAAGAAATTACAAAAAAATATAAAAATATAAAATTATACAAATGAAATAAGATTATNATAAATATAAAGTTAGACAAGATTAATTACAGTGATATACACTTTAAACGCACGCTATTGAAAAAGAGATAAACAATGTTAAAGTAAATCGCAAACATACACACCTTCAAAGTCAACATACTTTGAGAAACCGTTAGCACACGTGAGCATGCGAGAGAAAACATAACTTGTAGGAAACCGAATTTGCAGATGTCAAATTGTCTCCGTGTCTCGGATTCTTTAAAGAAAATATAAGAACAAGAGATTGATAATGTAAAATTGTGAATAGTTACTCTTAAAAAATTTTTTAGTAGATAACAAAAAAAAGGTCATGACAATAGAATAGTCAATGTAAATTTGAACGTCAAGAATATAAAAGAGTTGATACAAAGGTAGTCAAATATCAAAAATTACGTCAAGAAATTAAAAAATTAAAAAAAATATATATATATATATATAATATGAGTCATAGATAGTTAAGTCATAAAATGGAAACTTACATAATTGGTAAATTAAAATCCAAAGTCATGATAATCTTCCGCAGGCAAATAAACACAACAGATACAGCGCGAACGCATTACGCGACAGGCAAAATACAAATAAGTAAAATACAAAGTTAAGAAAATAAGATGTTTATAATGAACTACAGAGAGAGGAGAGATCGCAAGTAAGGGCTTATTTGCAAAGTTTCATAAGTAAAAGCGTATACGCAGGATCAAGAAGTTCGGTATCTTTCATCATATTTAAGCCGTTTTTTTGCATCTTTATATGTAACATTTCTGAGATGAGTCTTTTGTTGTAAAATTGTTCGTTGTCAAGAATGTGAACCTCACTCCATGCGAATTCGTGGCCTAGATCGCTACGATGCCTGCTGACCACTGACTGTCGCTCATACTCCTGACAAAAATTACGTTGATGTTCGGTCAATCTTGTGCGTAATTGCCTGCTCGTTTGGCCTACATACGAAGCGTTACAAGAAGAGCAGTCAATTCTGTATACTACATTACTGTTTGAAGTCGAGGCGAGCTTGTCTTTATGTACTTTTATGAAACTGCTTAATGTATTTAAATTTCTATACGAGAGTCTGAAATTTAGTGTCTTAAGAGATCTAGAAATGCTATCCGTGACACCCGGTAGAAAAGGCACAGTAAAATAAGTCTCTCCTCCATCTGTTTTGCTTGAAACCATCTTGCTGCTCAATAAATTCAACTTGTTGCTAAATAGTTGATGTAAACGTCTATTAACCGTTTTAAAAATCAAATTCAAGGGATAATCGTTAGACAGCAAGATCTGCATAGCCTTAATCAGATTATCCCTGTGAAAATTCGGATGAGAGAGTAGAATTGCTCTGTCAGTAATATTTAAAATAACTCCTATTTTTTGTTGTTGAGGGTGTTGTGAGAAGTAGTTGAGTCAACGTCCAGAAAAAGTAGGTTTTTGATACCAATTTAACATGAGTGTATCATCAACAACCGAGATCCAGGAGTCAAGGAAATTAATTGATCTGTCATCCTCCAATTCAATCGTAAAATTCAGGCGAGAATGATACGAATTGAAAATTCTGAGAATAACATCAACACTCTCTCTCGGAGCCGCCATAAGAATATCGTCAACATACCGATGATAAAAAGGTAAATCTAAATTCAAAATTTTGAGGCAATCCTCCTCGAGATCCTGTAGAACGATATCTACTATGATCGGCGAGAGAGGAGACCCCATAAGAGTACCGTATGTTTGATGGTAAATAGTACCATTAAAAGTGAAATATGTTGACGATAAAACCAACTCTAAACCTTTAATAAAAGAATCGAGTGGCATACTAAAGCTGCAGTCCGTTTCGTGCTTAATCGCGCATTTATCTGTAGTATATGTCACGTATACTATAGATAAATATATGCTTATAAGCATGAAACGGACCTCAGCCTAATATGGTCCTTAATATAATCCCACCTTCTTCTCACACTCTCAAACGCTAAATCTAATGGAATATTAGTGAACAGTGAGACGACATCAAGAGACAGTAAAATGTACGATTTTTCAATACGCTTGCCCGACAAACTTCTGAACAAATCAAAGCTATTCTGTATGAAACTCCGAGGTTTAGGTAAATATTTATACAAAATGCTATGCAAAAAGGAAGTTATGTTTTCTCTCGCATGCTCATGTGTGCTAACGGTTTCTCAAAGTACGTTGATTTTGAAGGTGTATATGTTTGCGATTTACTTTAACATTGTTTATCTCTTTTTCAATAGCGTGCGTTTAAAGTGTATATCACTGTAATTAATCTTGTCTAACTTTATATTTATNATAATCTTATTTCATTTGTATAATTTTATATTTTTATATTTTTTTGTAATTTCTTTGTATCTTTTGTTCCGTCCAGTGAGGCTGATGATGATCTAAAGAATAAAGATCGAAACGTTCCACTGATCTCCGTTTGGCTTTATTTTGAATTTTTTTAAGCCACCTCAATCTTGGTCATAGTCGGAAGGTTTATTTTCACTATTTCGAATTATATTACGGCTGATTTTCTACTCTTAAAAAATATTTCTTACAGAAATGCTGAGTTATATTACTATTGCCAATATACTAGTATTTTAGTAATAAAATTGTTCTATTATTTTTCTGTAAGAGTTCTAAACAATTACCAAACTTTTTTTTCAAAAAATATTAATATAAAAGATATGGTTTTTTATATTTTGTAAAAGTTCTTGGGATGTCCTATACATACCCTTACGAAAAAGAACTACTGCCGATTACATATAAATAAAGTCAGTAATATAAATATTACTGACAATTACATAAGAATATTATTAGGTATTACAGGAATCACTGAGAATATTACTGGCAATTACACAGAATGCCAGTAATGTTTTCGTACCACTGCCGCAATATATTATTGCCAGTAGTTCTTTTTGGTAAGGGTATCCTGTAAGAATCCTTGGAACATCTTACATAATAGCCTAAGGATAATTCAGGGACTAAAAGGGGCGCTCATTTGCTCTTCCTCAGGACATCCAGAGATCCTGGAATTAAAATAGAATATCCACAGGATATCTGTTTTGTCTGTATAAGATGTCCTTTGGATTTTCAGAGGACGTCCATGTGCTATTTGGGAAGCTTATGCTTTTCAATACTTACTTACGCCTTCGAGACGTTTGACGTTCTGCGCGGTCCTGATGTAAAATTTCGTCACCAAAACGAACAATACAACCAATATCGCTATCGGTATCATCATCCATTGATTAATGATCACCTCCATGATCAATATACTTATTATTACAAAAGTCATTTGGATCGCTTCTAACATCACTTTGGGCAGTACTTCGTCCATCGTTCCAATGTCTTTTGAAAATCTGTTTAAGATTCTTCCTGCAAGACGATGAAAACGCATAAGCAGAATTTTTGAAACGAAAAATTTGAATATAAACATCGTCGAACAGTTTTATTGCTCTCACCAGAAGGATTTGTGTGGAAGAAAGACATTCGTGCCTGCAGCAGTTTGAAAAACATAGTGTTGTGGAGATTGCAGCTAGAGTTCATGCAGATCTTCATGAACAGAAAACTGCGAAATAACGTGGTGGCAGTGCAGGCAACGATGCAGAACGTGTAGACGTAAATGGCGTCCATAGTTTTTAGCAGACCGTCCGGATTCAAGGTGAAAATCGACCCCAAAAAGCTATCGTTGTACATGTTTTTGTAGGCTTGATTGATTTGAACAGTACCGGCGGTACCTTCGCTTCGCCGAACGCTCTCCAAGTTGGTCCAGTATGAAGTCCAGTAATCAGTTCCTGTAGTGGCGATTTGGCTGATGATAAAGACAAGCAGCAGCATGAATAGCGTGAAATAATTGCCGCCGTGATGCAAATACTCTTTGTACACTTTGCTGGATAATGTGCCGTGCATCATCGCCTCGCCGTCCGGATCGTTTTCTATATAATCTGAATCGTCGATCTCCGAATACTGATGAGACAGTATTTTGAAATTATTAATTTTTTTTTTTATATGTTTTCAGTGACTAAGATATAATAAAACAGTTCCAAAGTTTTCTAATTAGCTTACCGCAATAGAGCTTGCGATTGACAATATCGAAGATCGCCGTTTCACCATTGAAGGTCTTTTTAAGGATAATTCCGAGATTCTCTTAGCTTCTTCTTCCTTCTTTTGCGCCTCATGACTCGATTCCAAGGTATTCATCATCATGATAAAGTCCTTGTTCGATTTTACCAGCGTGTGATAGCTACCTTGCATCTTCACGAAACCCTTGAAAATACAAACAAGTCGAAAGATTAAAATAAAATTTAATTTAATTATTAAATAATAATGTTAATTACTAAAACAAAAGCACTTGTATGTGTATGGCACTCACTCGTTCCAGCACGACGATGTAGTCGACGCGTTTGAGAAACTGTAGCTGATGAGTGACGAGGATCCTCGTTTTATTCTTCAGATACTCAACGATGCATCTCTTGTAAAGGTGTCTAGCAACGTGAGTGTCCACCGCACTTAACGGATCGTCTAGAAGATAGAGATCTGCTTTCCTATAAACCGCCCTCGCGAGATTAATCCGCGCTCTTTGACCTCCAGACAAGGACACACCCCTGTCTCCAACTATCGTCATATCACCTTGCGGAAATTGCCGAAAATCTTTTGTTAACGCGCATACGTTCGTCACCTATATGTAAAATTAGCAAGATTTATAAACTCTAGTTGAAAATGTCCACTAAACATGAAAGGATTCGAGCCTCTACAGTTTGATAAACGCAGATGCGCTTTGATAATCACCTGAGTATATCTGGCTCTGTCGTAAGGTTGACCGAACAATATATTATCCCTCACGGTACCATCAAAAAGCCAGGGTTCCTGGCTTGCATAGGAAATGCACAAATTTTGATTGTTCGTGATGTAATCGTTGCTTAGATTGCTCTGAAGATTGCTTAGTGAGTTTTGAATAAGCATTCCGCAACCCGCGCCAAGATCAAGCTCTTTCAGCAACAAATAGAGCATCGACGATTTGCCGGAACCTACAGCTCCTACCAGGGCGCACAGTTCACCTGGTTTAATAGTCATGGAGATGTTGCACAACGTCGGCGGCAATTGGCCGTTGATCCAGTTGGCGGAAACGCGCTGAAGTTCCACACAAACCGGGTGTGGCGATTCCTGAGATTGAAGACAATCGGAACTCCTGGTTTTAGATGAATACTTGTCCGTCGTTTCATTTGACTTCGGAGTTGTCGGCGGTGAGCGCGTTTGTTTCATGTTCACTTCGTCCATTAGCAGAAGATCCTGTTTATTAGTTATTGAACAAATACATTGTAATTAAAGTAAGTAAATGCTGGTGAGAATAATGTGGAAATATTTATAGTGAATTTGAAAATATAACTTATTAACGCGCACCTCCAGTCGATTCATAGTCACCATCGTCTCACCCAGCAGAATCAATGCTTGCGGAAACAACAATGCGGTGGTGAGTTGAAGGACGTTGAAAAAAGTCGCCAGAACGTATGTCACGTCGGCGGATAGTTCGTTTCCCGTTAGAACAAACATTACCAAAGTAAAGAAGAGAATGAGTCTTTCAGTAAATACAATGATTGCCAGGTACGCGGCGCGTATGTAAGACGAGAATTTGATCTTCTGTATCTCTAACATTCTAGTCACCGACACTATTTTGCTGAACGGTATCTCCCAGGCGTACATCTTTATTACCTGATAAGAAAAGGATGCTACTTAAGCCATTTTGAACAGCGGATGATTGTTATAACTTTTTTACTTAAATTATCTTATTATTCTTTATATATTGTTTTCAAGTACTTGTATTCCAGCTATGAGCTCGCTCATAAGCTGTACTCTTCGATCAGTCAACGGCGCGATTACGGCTCTGATGCTGCGACTTAGCAAGCTGAAAGATCCTTGAATTGGCAGAGTGATGATCAACAGCGATCCGATGCCAACGAGGGTGGAAACGCCGATCTTCATCCACATTATGTATCCCACGACTATAACCTGAAAATTAAAAAAAAACATAGATAATCTTTTGAAACTATTTTATTCTATAAATATAATAAATAATTAAAAATGTAATTAATATATATTTTATGCATGGTAGCTTCGCTGCTGTTGCAGCGACTCGTCTTTTTTTTTTTTTTAGGCGGGTCGTGCAAGTGATCTAGTTCAAGTGAGAAACAATAAGACGTATAAATAATGCGACTTGCGTATCGTTTTTAATATTTTCATATTAAATAGACAAACACAAAGCTTTATTGGACAATTACAGTATGTACACCGAATTTTCAAAATGTAATATTCGTATCATCATTACAAATATTTATTTGAACGAAGAAATCTATTCCTCAGTTCTGTTCTATTAAATTGTCAAAAAAATTTTGAATGATCAATCTTTTTTTAAGTTTTAATCAAGAGTTTTATTTTAAATGTTTGTGATAAGACAAAACGTAATAAATAAATATGATGGATTTTCTTTTACCATCTTGTGGGTAGTGCCATTATTCTGTCAGCGTAGAATTTCTTCGGCTTTTGATTAAAGAATTCCTTCAGGTAATTGATTAAAGAATATCTTCAGGTAATTTTTGCAGTCCTTTCGTGAACGCAAATTAACATCGTTTAAAAACATTTTGTACAAAATCGAAACAAATGTAATCGGAAGACACTATGTCCAGATTATACGATGAATGCATTAAAACTTCCTAGTCAAGGTCTGTTAATTTTTGCCGAGTTGCCAAAGATGCGTGGCCTGGCGATATTGTAAAAGACAATTTCCTTTTTTGTTAATCAATTCTGCTCTTTTTTCTTCAATTGTCTGTTTCAATCGCATTAATCGTAAACAACGGACATCATTGTTGAAGAATCAACAGTTTTGTCAAGTGGAAGTACCTCGTAATAAAAAACATTTTTCTAAGTTAATTCGTGTGGAATCCATATGTATTTAAATTAAGAATCTTAACTCAAACTATTTTTTATTATTATTTTTTAATTATACAAAAAAACTTTAAGTTAGGTTTTATCTTATACAAAAAATTCTTTCTCTATAAAACCTGGTTTATAAAATATTATATACTACAAAACATTCTTTCTCTAAAACCCGTTTTACAAAAGAAGTGATACAAAAAGTAACACCAAGTAAACTTTTGTACGTTATTATTGAAAAACAATATACAATAGAAAATAATATAGAATAGAAAAACAATATAAGAACACGTCTTAACTTTTTTCCTATGATTATTACCTAATCCTAAGTACATAACTTTGGTAAGATTATATTTATTACTAGAACACAAAGGTGTAACAAAAACAAATTTTGTTCAAAATATAAAAAATATTTAATGCAAAAAAACTTGGCGCGGCTGCACCTCAACTATAAAGGAATTATTTCATTGTGCTGTAATCTGATGTATAATAGCTACTCAGTAATTTTTGTTTTAATGTGAAATATACTATAATGAAATTATTTCTTTTATTAAATTATTTTACCAGTTTATCAAAAAAATTATTTTAGAGATGTTGCCGAAACCACTACGCCGCGAAGAACATTGTCGGAGCGATCGGTACTATCGGAGATGTTGCCGGCGCGAATAACGCGAACCACTACCCTGCCTCTTCTCTCTTTCTTTCTCTAACTCACATTTCCTTTCTTTCTTTTTTTTTCTTTCAACACGCTCGTTTATGTATGCTATCTGTTGGCAGGCATACGAGATGCACACGTTTTGGTCAAACAACGACCAAAGTAACGTTTCTGAAACGTGAATTTCTGAAAACTTTATCGTCGCATCTCCGATCAGAAGGCACGAACAAAATACACAAGAATACGTTGTTTTTTAATGTTTTGTTCTGAATCGATTAAGACTAAAACAAACTTGATCGGTTCGGTCGTTACTGAAAAATTGCTTTGTGAAAATCTTTTCTCTCTCAAATTACCTGAATTTTGCGTAATAGAGGCACGGTGTGCTCGCGCAGTTCGAGCGCCACTTCGTTGCGCGTGAACTAGGCGCGAAGCACTACCGTGCTTCTTGATATCGAGTTTCTTTTTCATTTTTCAGTTTCTATAAGCGGTCTATCATTGTCGAATGATAAATATTCAAGTCTAAAACAATCTGCCAAAAAGAATTGTGTCTGTCCTTTTCAATTTTTGAGGTAAAACAATCTTTCAACTTCTATAGGCGACTAGAGCGTGGAGCATCTTTTGGATGTTAATATGTTCGGGTCTAAAGCGACGAAAGTATTTGCCAGTGAACATCTATAGAGTATCTTGATCATATACATCACTAATTTTTTCATAAACTTGCGTAAGCGTTCTTGCCTTTTTTTGAAACAAAAAAGTAAAATATGTTGCAAAAATGCTCCGTATTCTATTTTCTTATTTGTGGTAACACCTAAATAACTTCAGATTTTTTAAACCGATTCTCTTGATATTATAAAAAACAATAGTATAAGACATAAGTTTTAAAGTGATATCAAAAAAAATTCCGTGAGGGATTTGAATCACTTTAAAACTTTTTCGACAATCCAATACTTGAAAATGCTATAATTCATTTCTCGGATAATTTAACACACATGTGTCAAACTAAATTTTGTTATCATAAATAAGAGTAAATTTTCGTAGTAGTAATATCAGTCAGTAGAAGTGCTTGCAATAATATACAGTAAATAACTAATAAGGCAATTTTTATATCCAATACGGCACAAATGTTTTTCATCGTTATAAATCATCAAAAGATTTTAGAAAACTAAGACCAATTAATATGTAATTGTCAAAATAATAATAGATATACATGTATTATTTCATAATTACCTGGATTGGCATAATCCACACGTAATTCAGAAACCCTGATAGCAGATCAAAGCGATTTACGTCATTACTAAGAATATTCACAATCTGTCCAGCACCAGTTTGGCTCAACGATGTTTTGTTCAGCTTTAATAACTGCAATACAATTTTAAATAAACAATTGTAAAACATTTATCACAAAACTATTTTATAGTTATATTGTTTTATATTGTTTTATAATATATTCTCTTTTTTTCACAAATAACATACAAATTAAGAATTCTTTCTGAGAAGCGAATTTTATATTTTTTCTTGCAGTATTAGTCGAAGAATACGTTTAATGAAAAAAAAGAATACACATTTAATGAAGAAGAGATAATATCGCACTTTCTTACAATCAGCAAAAATTCCGAACTTCTTTGAATAAATGTAAATGAGTAATGTAAATGAGTACAAGCGACAATTGCGTACACAACCAAGTATAACAAGCGATTGCAAACTTTTTCCTTTTAAAAATAAAGACTCACTCAACATTTGACTTTTTCGGATTTGAAAGTGAGCATTAAACATTATAAATAGTCAAATAAATTCTTACTCAATGTTAAAATTAGTTTCTACGACTTACTTAGAAATGCAAATTTAACGATTTCAGGAAATTTCTAAGTTCGTACACTATTTGTAGAAATCAAATTGTATATATTTGCAAAATGCACCTTTCGATACAGAAGAGAGCTGCAGGCGACACGTACTCTCATCCCGATCTGCATCGATATCAAGGTTGTTTGATGCAGCACCACAACGACGCCAATAGTGCAAATAATCATGTAGACAATGTAGAACAGCACCTCGTTCCTTGTTATTTTTCCTCCTGTCGAGTTTGGATTTACGTTAAAATAATCGATGATCCAGCCCTGCAGAACTGGTACCAACACGCGTAATATACAAGCCTGACGAAGTAAAGATACGTTAAAGTTTATTATATTAATGGTATTATTTTGTTATTAATATATTCATATGTATATTTTTTATAATTACAACACACCTGAATAAACATGTAAATTCCAACAATAAAGTACGGTAACCAAAAAGTAGCAAAGAGTGCCTTGTATAATCGTGGTCGGACATTTTTCTTCATTGGCACTTTCTGTCCGTCTTTGCTCACAGTGTATTCCAACTTTTTCATCTTTTCCAGCTCGCGATTCCAATGTCTGAATAAAGAAACAGCAAGTCAGAATGTGTTAAACGTATTTAAAATCTGAAAAAAGTTTTCTTCTGAACAAGACATATATTGAACGTGCATTTCTTAAATATTCTAGTTTAATTTCTAAATTTCTTCTTTAATTATATTATCTTTAATTATATAGATTTAAAAACTAACGTGTCAAGTTGTTTATTAATATGAAAAATTTAATGATTATAGTATAAAAAATCATGGAATATTTAATCAAGTGTTAACAATAATTTCTTCGCTAATAAGAAAAACAATATTGTAGTATCACTGATAAGAAAAGAAATAATTTAATATTAAGTGTGTATGTTTGATCAAAATACTCATAAATATATTATATTTGCAATTTGCTGTCATGAAGTTTTATTCCTCGTGTTATAATATATTAATATTATACACACGCGCGCGCGCGTGTGTGTGTGTGTATCTTAATATATATACATAATATCATTATTTATATTATATATTTATAATATATTAATACTAATATACATTATATAAATTAATATATTAAGTATATATTATTAATTATATTAATTATATTTGTTAATGTTCTAAATCTTTGTATATCTTTTCACAAGAAATAAAAAACACTCACTTTTCAAGATGATCTGTTACTTTTTCCGACAAGTCTTCTTTTAGCGGTCTGTAAATATCAGATTCTTTCAAATCAGTCTTTATGCCTTTTAGAAACAAATCGAATGTCCACCTATATAAAACACACACAATGTTTTTGGTTTGAAATGAAAAGTAGTAACACAGAAATACTGGTAAAGTAATGAAATTAAAACGTATGCGTATTATTACGTACTCTATACATAAATATAAAGCGATAAGAACATGACTAAGCACAAGTTGTGTACATTAGTTCTATACACTTTTTATATATTAAATTAATAAAATTTTTTTTCAACTTTTTTTACATTTTAAAAGTATCAAGAACTTTTTTTCTAACTAATCCTAAAATAAATAATAAATTACAAGTTGTAACACACCAAAGAAAGATCTGACTGAAAATATTTGCAGTCTCCTTTGGATTCTGCTTCATATCGTTCGAGTTCTTATTCATGGTGTCGCACTATGAAAATTCATATAAATCTTCAACAAATCTCAGAACTCTGAATAACAAATGACAACATAACATAAAGCACAAAAATTTACAATATATTTTAATCTTCTTTTGTGGTTTGCGTTCTTGCCTTTGAAACTCACTTTCCGAAAGTCAGTTCTCTACTAACCGCTTGTATAAACGATCTTCATATCTTTGCTTTCCATATTGCCTTGAAATACTAATACGCTACTCACTTGTACAAAAAACATTATCAACGGCTATACTGAACGTACATAGTATAATATGACACAACTATGCAACATATATTTTTTACAACAAATATTAACTCTCATAGTGTCCAATTAGCAAAAAAATCATTACAAATTAAACTCTAGATGTATGTTTAAAATAAATTTCTTTAATGTAAATTGTGTAAATTAATATACATAATAAGTAAAATTGAATTAAACTCAAAAAATCATTTTGATAATGATGTTTAGTTTACATATCATATACAAAATGATTTTTTGAAAACTTTCCAGCTGATTATCTTGAAAAGTGAAAGATACAAAAAAAGCTAACCTACGTGTTCCATGATTTCGAAGAGAAAAGAACGACGATACTAGTTTTTTATTTACAAAAAACGTTTCCAAGGTCATTTACAAATCACTTTTGTTTTTTAAATGGAAACTTATTGTTGTATACATGTTGTATTTTGTATTGGCGCGTGGGCCGCGATCGTTTGTGCGCACGGTCATCGGCCAGGGGGCGACCGGGTCGTTTTCCGGTCGCGAGTTGCGTGTCGCGCCGCGTGGCGTGGTACGATAGATATATCTTGGTGTGCGGAATACAGAGAGGTGTGTGAGAACTTCGGTTCCCGGGGGTTACGCGACACAAGCGAGCGGGNCACTGTTATACAAGTTATTTTTAATAAGAAACGGAAGCATGTGAAATAAAGACTGCATTTTATTATTGGATGGAGCACTGTGTGAGTTCTCACTGCAATCCTTTACAAAGACACAACACTTATATTTTTTTATTATCTTATTCTACAGAATCTTATTCTTCGCAAAAAAATAAGCAATGTTTGTAGAAAAAATTTTTTATTCGAGCATTATATTTGCAGATATTTAAAAACGTATCAAGAACTTATTTAGGATAGATGAATAATTAAATAGATGAATGATTAAGCAACAATTAAATAATCGTAAAAAATCACAATAAATGTTCAAAGTGTTCTTCGTTTATTATCCAAGCCAATAATAAAGTCTATCTTTTCATTTATTTTTAGACCATAGATATACATAATTTCAGCTCTTTGCTCTAAATTGTACACCATTGTAAAACAATTTTAATTTTTCTACAATGAATTGAGACTTTCACTTTTCATCTTACTTCAACCTACTAACTTAAACCTACTAATTTAAATCTACTAACTTAAACCTACTAAAAATCAACAGTAAACGCCACAAATTATTTCTGTTCTTATCAAATGTCATATTTAACATAAACAACACAGAAGCGTCTTTGACCACAGAATATCGGTTTGCTTTTTTTGTAAATATAAAAAATTTTATTTTAATATAACTATTATTATGTTATTGAAAATTATATTTTTTTATGAATATATCAAAATTGTATGCAGTAACTATACTTTGCTATTTTCTTAAGTATCTCCAAAAATAGTGCTCAGATAAAACAATGTTTCCTAAAAAAGTTGCTTGTTTTTTTAACGCAGAATAAGATCCCTTAATTTAAAAAAATATAAATTTCCACTTAAAAAAAGCAAGTTGATCTTCATTATCTTGAAAATGCCCTTCGAGTAAAACTGATAATGCCGTTCTTTTTCTTCTCGAAATCATGGAACACGTATTTTAATTTTTTTTGTCTGTCATACTTTTCAAAATAATCAGCTGGAAAAATTTAAAAAAATTACCTGTATATAAAATGTCCAATTTACCACTATTCAATCAGCAAACACTGTTTTTAATGTTTTTAATGTTTTTTTTTTTCATTACTTATTCATTTTCTCAACTCGAAAAGAATATTTATTGAACATTTAAAACAATTTTTTTAAATTAATTATTTATTTAAAATAATATATTGTAAAAAAAGTTTTTTAAACATTTCTTTAATATTTTTAAAGTATTTATTTTTTGTTCATTATTTATTAGAAAAAATAATTTCAGTAAACATTTACTTATTTAACGTTTAATAGCTACGATTGTCCACAAATAAATGAAATTTACGAACAATATGCGAATCTTTGGCACAGATCCCCTTACGAAAAAGAACTACTGCCGGCTGTGTGATTATTACATGCGGCCGTGTGATTAATATGGCGGCTCTGTAATGATCGAGGCGAATATTATTGTATCTGTAATAACTTTTAGCAGCGGAATACAAGCGGACATTACTCGCTCTTT